TGTGCTACGCCACTTTTTACTTCGGAATTTAAAAATATATATTGGTTTTCTTTGTCAAATTTCGATCGCGTATCTAGTGTAAATTTGTGTAGTACTCACGCCACACAACTGTTTCTCCCATATAAAACCGTATAAGTTTTTTTTTAAATCACATTATATATAGATTATATGCTTTTTCTTTTTTTCATAGATCCAACTGATAGTCAAATTGTTTCATGCTGACGTGACTCGTATTCTAATCACAGTGCAGAGGATCGAAAAGACAGCTGCGTCGATCAGGTGAACGCACGCAAGGGCCACCCTGCAAGATAAGATATGTTGACAGTGCGCCATGTTTCCCTCTTGCGTCAAAGATGCTGTCAGCATTCGTGTAAAAGCACCACGCTCGTGCATCACTTCTTCAGAATTTGCTGAGTCTAAACCCACCGCATGTGCGATCCGAGAGGCGGAATCCCATCAACTACACGAAGACGACAGTGAGTGGGTGACAAGGTGAGTGACTAAGTGACTGACGCTGGTACCAAGCATGTTCTAGATATGGTGGGAGGCTTAAACTGGGGAAATGAAAGGGGACTCCAAGTGTAATACGCGGGGACGTTTCACATGCACCTGAGGAAAAGTCCATTTCGGATCGCCCTAAATAGAGAGAGGGGGAAGTGGGAAGAATGCCTCCTTCTCCTGTTGTAAGGTTAGGGATGGCATGGAGAGATTCGACTTAGCAGCCTGAGTGCGGTGGTGTCATTGTAGCCCGCTGGACCTGCAATCCGAAGATTTTCGGTTCAAGTCCTGTTCGTTCCACAATTTTCATTTTGTTCTCTTATGTCAGCCGAACTCTTTCCCCTCTCCCCGGCGGCTATCACGTTCTCCAGAATAGATCCGACAGTCGCAACGGCAGGAAGAAAAAATGCGACCCGAGAGAGCGAGACGTAAACCCAGAGACAGGCGAACGACTCTACGGGGAGAGCACGCGCGATCGCGTTGAGCGCACGCATGTGGCATGTGTGCGTGCATGTCACGGACCATCGAGCACCGCCGCCGCCATCACGGACCACAGTTCATTTTATTATAAAATTTTCTTTGTAACGAAGTTCTACATGCGTTGAACATCCCCTTTCCTTTTCTACAAGAATAATGATATGCATGATTGGGCGGAGATAATGGCATGAGATGGGTTTACTTCCGAAAATACTCATCCATTAAAGTAACGTCTATGTAACGTAGCGACAACGTCATTTGGCTCAAGTCACTTTGAAGTAAAGTTGCACGGACGTCAGGTATTACTTTGGAAAAACCGATGTTGATAAAATATCCATGGAAGTGCGTTGAGGGGAAGACAGGCTCCGTAAAATTTACCCATTAAAAAATACGTTCGTGAGGAATGTCATTAACCAAGAACGAAGAAACCTCGGATAAGCGTCGCTTGTGCACGACGTAAGTGAGGGAATGGGTCGCCAAATGTATGTTGATTTTAGCGAAAGCGTGTCGGGGATAAATTTCAGGGGAAAAAGCATACATTGAAAACCTTGCTTAAGCTGCATGCCATTAAAAATATAAACGTATTTTATTATACAATTAGTACCTATACTAGGTACAATGGCAAGTCACCCATGCGCAAAATTGGAGGTTAATTCCTCCACCAAAAAATTTAAATGGTAATCTGAATTTTAGTGGACTCCTCTTCTTCCATTCTCGACATGAAAACGATTAACGTCATCGGCCTCGTTGAGACGGATAAACAAGTCCTTGAATTTGATGACGTTGGCCGAGGGATTTATCTCATACGTCCTCTCTGAACGAACGCAGCTATGGAAAGCAGTCGAGTTTCTGCTCACGGTGAATTCTACCTAGGGATCAAAAAGGAAGAAGCTAACTGATAATCGTACAGAGCCCATTTTTCGATATACCGATGTCCAAAATTTACTGCCAACAATCCATCATAAAGTGTTTTTCCTTCATAGAGTTATAAGAGAGGACGAGAAGATTAACCTATACCGTAAATCCAGCTGGAACTATCTCTGGATTGCTTAAGTCCATTTGAAATCCTAAAATTGTAGACTGTTAACTTTGACTTTTATATCACAAGCTCCATTTTGGCAACATGATCAAAGGATTTGTCATCACCTAATAAGGCAACATTTAGTTACTCAGGGAAATCATATTGGCCAGACATCCCTGATAATTATTGAAAAAATATACCGGAAGAGTGGGGGCAAATAAAAGTCACGCTTCAGTTCCTTACTAAATTTTTAATAGTCATAACTTTCAATGAAACTTGAATTAAGCCAAACTAACTCTATTTCCTACTTAAATATGAATTGTTTCAAAGAAATTCAGAAATCCCATAGCTTTTCTTACTGTTTTGGGTTAAAATAGTAGCGCCACATATACAACATATTTATAATACTGTTATGAATGAATACATATTTTTTTTTTATTTCTCATAGATCTTCATTTATGGAAAAAATGTGATTCATGTTACCCATAATTGTGGAATTCGATGGTAAATAAAATGGAAAGGGAAGCTAAGTGACGAACGAGCAACTCATGTTTTTATCACATATGCCGGCGGCAGCAGTCAAACTTAATAGTAATATAGGCTTGATGAGGCTCTCCACCATTCCCTGAGATGTAGTTCCTCCGTTGTAAGCAGCGTTCAAGCAATTTCTTGCTTGAATGCTCAAAATCAGCAATTTCTGCGCAGGTAATAGTCTTCAATTGCAGGGTCTCGTTATAAAAATGCTATCAAACGGCCTGGGAAATGGTTCGGAGACCGGCAACGCAAATAGTGATGGCATGAGGACATGCATATATCGTTAGAAATGCTGAAACTGTATTCGCTCCAGAGAAATTCAAGGACGAGACCTCAATCTGGCACTTCTTCCAAGTCCTGGTGTGGGCACGATGACCCGCCCCGATATTCATCATCTTCGACTAACGCTGGCGTATTTATCAATTTTGTGACATTTCGGCCGAATGAGGCAAGGAATGGGTTGCGACCATAAGAGTGATGGCATCATGCGGAGTAGTTCCTTTTGATTTCATGCCTTCTGAACGAAAGGGAACTGAATCAAGTTCCATACACCTCAATTATGACTCACGCTAGAAATTAAATTTTTGCTTGTCAGCTTATGGATGCTTGATGATCATCGGGTGATATTGTGCTCCATGCCACTTCCGTGGCTCCATTTATGAAATGGTTAAATGCAGGATTTGACTAAAAAAAAGCCATATAGGTGTATAAGTATTAACAACAGGTCGATATGCTAACACACAAATATTTCCCTGTATATTCAAACGAGTAGGTTATCTCAAGTTCTGTTGATGTTCGATATCAACATTGGACGTCATAACGGACCCAAACGCCTTTTGACGTCCGTACCCATGCCGTGAGTCATGATTTCATCATTTACTGGTTCCACAATCGCTTTCCGTCAGTCCAACTTCTACGCTAACTTCCTGGAGCTTCCGGTCGAAGGATTTTTATATGAACATCTGGAATATATACATTTTGCAGGCACGAGTTTCAATTTAGAGGAAAAAAATTACACAGGATAAAAATTGGCAATGTGTAATTCAAATAAATTGTATTCGATTCGAGGAGAACTGGACCACTCATCCTTGAAATTTTCATGAGCACATTCTAGTTGATATGGATGTTACAATCATTTAAAGGAAATAGTGAAATAGTGAATTTTCGTGAGTAAACGACACATTTTGCTACGAAGAAAAGGTGTTTGTCGTGATGTGCCAATGGAGAATGAATCGAAAAGTATGGGAGAAGAAATCTAGTTCATAGACTTGAAGCTGATGTTGCTCTAGGGCTCCTCAATAGACGTGAGCAGTAAGAAGGAAATGCAAATATAATTATCATTGAGACTGTTGTCGCTTTCTTGCCCTTCAAAGATGAAGAATACTCTGTATTCTTCATTTGAATGTCTAAAGTCTGAATGACAATGGAAACTCCTTGGTTTCCTGCAAGTAAAAAAAAGGGATGTTTCAAAGTTGATTCCTTACCCATTAGCGTCATAGCGCCAATAACCTTTCTTCAACCCCTTTCCCGTCGCAACATTCAACTTCCTCGTATTCCTCTCTGAGAGCATGAAAAGGAACGGAATTTGGCATACTTATTCATCTCTCACCACAAAATCGCTCCAGCAAATCCAGCTCCATTTCCACAGGGTTGTGGAGAACACTGAATCTCATTTTTTGAGGATGCGAACAAATATGTATTATACGTAGACCAAATAATGACTCAAAAATCAAAGCAAAAATCAATCGAATACGTTTAGACGTGTATTTAAAATATGATTCGATGGAAGAAATCCTAACAGTAGAAATGTATCCTTTGGTTAAGAAATAAAAAAATGTCTCACTTCGAAGAAAGGGAACTGTATAATTTACGCCGCAAGCAGTGGCGCCAAGAAAGCTTTTATGTGATGGGTTGATCAATCATTGATAGACTGAAAGAAACCGTACTTGAAATTAAAATATTGTATGTTTTACGTGTAGCATAATGATGGCTACGAATCTCATACGAATAAACGGGAAGGCATCCAGCATGTATTTGAATTTCGATATTATATTCCATAGATATTCCAGTCGAGATTGTGAGAGAAACTCCAGATAGGCCATGTATTAAAATCATCAGAGGTGTCTCGAGACACCTGAGATAGACCCTAGTTCACAGGCCAATTTGCTCTCTGTAAATCATGGATTGAGATTCCGTTGAGAAAAAAGGAAGACCTAGGCTTAAAGGTAATGGTCGCGCGAAGAGGAAAGAGGAGGAGGGGAGGAAGCGGGTGTATTGGGTTGGCTGGAAGTTCTTGCAGTTTTCGCCTTTTCTCATTACGAAGCCTCACGAATTTTCTAGAATTTTCCCGTTTCGCCTTTAAATAGTCTCCCTTCTTGCGTGCACATTCAGTGTATTTTCGATGCCTTACCGCCAAATGTGAGCCAGAAGTTCGACCTTGACCGTGACCTCCACCGTACCTGCCTCCTCTATGAGTTTCGTCTGGGAGAGAAGGCAGACGACGCCCATCGCCGTCTGTGCCAGGCGTTTGGGGAAGGAGTCATCAGCGAGAAGACGTGCCTTCAATCGGTTCGCTCGCTTAAAGTCCGGAAACTATAGTGTCGAAAACAAGTTGAGGTCGGAACGCCCGTCGGAGTTGGATGATGAGTCGCTACTACAACTCATGGAAGCCGATCCCCGCATGACCACTCGCCCCATGGCCGCCGTCCTCGAGTGCTCCCACTCCACCATTGCACACCTCCTGTCCACGATCGGAAAGGTCTCGAAGCTCGGGAGTTGGATACTCCTTGCTTTGACACAGAAGGACCTCGACCAGCGTTCTCCTCTCCTGCCGACAGCGCTTTGATTGGCTCGACGACGTCTTCACGGAGGATGAGAAGTGGGCGATGTACGCTTCAAGAGTCATACCCGTAAGAGTCAGTGGGTAGACGCCGATGAAGACCTGCAGCCGGAGCCGAAAAGTGACCTGCACCCCTGCAAGGTCATGCTCTCCGTATGGTGGGACGTGAAAGGTGTCGTGATGTTCGAGCCGCTTCCTCCCGACACCATCATCACGACGGCCTACTACTGCGACCGGATGGGAGATTCAGCTGCACTCACCGTACTCCCCGGACCTTGCTACGTCGGACTACTACCTTTTCCGCGCCCTGCAGAACCGACTCAAAAAGAAAATGCTCGACGACCAGAAAGACCTCGAATGCTACTTGCGACAGCTCTTTGAGTCTCAGCTCTTATTGATCTACCACGACAGAATCCATTCCCTGGCTGGAAGGTGGAGACATGTTGTGGAACACAATGGTGCTTGCATTATTGACTGGTATCGTATAGTTGCTGAATAAAATTGTTCTATCAAATATTGTTTGAAATTGGAATACATTTATTGCCATCCAAATAGTTTAAGAATTGGGGAAGTCTTTGAAAAAGGGTTTCCTCACTACCTCATGCATACATACACGCATGTGAATTAGCCAATGAATATTTGCGTTCTCGTCGATAGACAAGGACACACGAGCCAGGTGAACTGACCGTTTCTTTTTCATTTTCATTATAGGTATCCTAAAGACACACACCAGTGGAGAAAATGGAGAGGAAGACATGCTGTGGTCTTTTGACCTTGATGACTGGAAGCACGGTTGTTGGTGCATTATGGCTGGTATGGTCTACATTGATTGCTTTTAAAAAAAAATCATAGTTGCTTTATTTCTGTACATTACCCTAGGTGTTAAAATTAATTTCAACTTAGGTATGCATGCATAATGTTTCCATTTATTTAAATAAAGGGATATGTAATCAACCCTAATTGAATTACTTGTTACAAAAGGCATGTATTGGGGGAGAGATTTAAATGACAGGTCTACATTTTTGTTTATATATACAGTGGCGTCCGAAAAAAAAACAAAGCTGTCATTTTAGTGACATGATGAATCTGATTGTAGTCGATTATTGTGAAATTAGGTAGAAATGTAGAGTGACTCGATTCGCGGGGAGGGTCATCATAAATAAGCACAGCTCCTATAATTTCAGCGCCACATAACGGAATTTCAGCATGCAAATTTTGGACAATTACCACGAGGGTCATCCCAAAAGTTCGAGAACAAATGGAGATATTTTCTTTGCGTGTGATCCGACAGCAACTGTCATACCATAGTGTTCATATTGATGTCTCATGGTACTAACGTAAGAAGGATCGTGTTACTACTCCTTCCCATTGCAACGATATCGCATTTTTAAGTAGACCTACATTTTACCACTATGGAAGAAAATGATCGGCTCCAGCGAGGTGGGATTTGGTTTCTGTGGAAGCAGAAAAAGTCACAGGTCGTGAACTGCAAGAAGTTCACAGGGATAGAGATTTCAGCAAAAGAGCCATAAATAAGTGGATGCATCGCTTTGAAGCAGAATGGGACACTGGATGATTGGATGCTTGGAGCATGCTCCCACTGCCATCCAGTGCGTTCAAGTGACCCCAGCAAACTGGCTTGCTGAGGGACTCGAGAAGCTGATAGAACGGTGGCAGAAATGTGTGCCGCTGCGCGGGAAGTATATTAAGAAAGTTCACTTTGGAAAATGCTCCATTTGGTGTTTCAATTTGATGTAGAATCAAATGTTCTCGAACTTTTGGGATGACCCACGTATATTATTCTACCAAGTCTCATCGTAATCGACTACTTGCTATCAGATTGACACATCTTCAAAACGACCCATCATTTATATGCATACATGTACGACATACAAAATATTTTAGCCGACCAAAACAGACAACGGTCAATACGAGCACAAATTATTGCAAGTGAAGTTTTCAAGAGCGAATGATAGCTAAGGAGGTCTAACAGGCTGAAAAGTCGAAGGTTATTCTTGATTGGGTGTTGCTACTTGAATTTTTTTCCGCTCATGCAAAGTGAGATAATATGAAACACATATCTAATTCTGTACACAAGTAATTATTTGCTAAGAAAAATCCCGTTTTTTCTTGTCATACTGGTTATTATAAGTTAGAAGTCTTGCATTAGGTACTGTATGGAGGGAAATTTCGGATAAGAAACGAACACTACCCTATCTGCATCATCGAAAAGTGAATTAATATGCTTTATTTTAGAAAAGAAAATTACTTTAATTAGTTGAAATGGAAAATGAAAGTAATACATTAGCTTTTAGCATTAGCTTAGAACTTTTTGAGAGAATATATATATTAGATTTTGTGGCTGCCAACATATATATTTTTTCGTGTCATTACAGGATCGGCAGTGACTTGACTCACGAACGAATTTCTTTTGAAACTCCAAAAGTTTTACGACTTTCCTTAAAAGCAGGTAGCGCCGACTGCGTCATCCATGAAGCCTTCTCATGCCAAATTATCTTTTGCAGGTTTTCGATATATCCTTCAGTATCATGTTCCTGACGTTTCTAAGTTCAACCCGGAGGGCTTTTTTGAATATGGGCGCTTACTGGACGAGAGATGGTGGGTCTTTCATTTTGGCATATTTCCGAGTCCGATTTCCTCACTTTAATGAGATCGTCTAAGTCATGCGTTTTCATCATGCATGAAGTATTCCTCCAATATTTCGCTAACTTGAATTTTTTTTGTCCCCAGAATTCGATAAGGCGGTAATCGGTGCGATGTGCTATTTCTCAACGATGATCATCATCGACTCCATCCTCATTTATGGGATCCGCGTGGTATGCTTTCAGCGACCTAGGAGTCGAAATTCTCTTAGATTGTCTTCCTACACTTACACTTGATGCGCAAAGGCAACTCTCCTCATATGAGCCTCGTGAATTCCAGAATATGAAATTCAATTAGCGGGATTCAATATATATAACGTTTATCTAAATGTCGTAAGTAATTCAAGAGATTCAGACATTTTCCACCGTTTGTCAATATTTCATACAGGGAAGCCAGTAACAGAAAGCACAAAATCATTTGACTAAAAAAGGTTAAGGTATTCATGTAGGTCATCCTCTAAGATTGAGAAGGTCATCGTGGACATTTCAGAGGAAGAGGACACTGATGATTCCGTGGCTCTGCGTGGTTGCCCTGCAGCTGACAGCTGCGCTCATCATTTTCATAATATTTATCGTCGGTGCCATACAACGTAAGACGGATGCTGGTCCATTACTGCTGGTCTCCTTCCTCTTCTTCGCTCCGTTTTTCATGGCAACTAGCTTGTATAAAGTTGTTTATACCTACTTCAAGGTTAGTAGATGCCATGTTTCTTTTCTTGAAGAAGTTAGGCTACAGAGGTCTCTTACAGTTTGGGTCAAAAGTATTGTAATACCGGAAAAATTCATATATACCCCTCCAAAGGGCCCGCTTACACCAATTCATTTACTAATGCAATCTCCATTCATATAGAAAACCAACCGCATTTAGCTGAGACATACTACTTGCTACACTTTTGTGAATCCCTGGATTCGCAAAAGGATCCCTGCATACCCATGCATTTTTTAGTTTCTGGATGAGCTGCTCGCAGCCCGTGGCATGTTTCATCTTTTTCAACTCGTCCTTGAGATTCTACCAGGTATTCTCAATGAGATTTAGGTCAAGGCTGTTGCCTGGTCATTGACCCTGCCCGTAAAATGCTGGCAGGTTCTTCTGACACCAAGCAGTGGTGGTCTCGGAGGAATGACAAGGAACATTTTCATGCATGATGTTGGTCTCTGACCTTTTGTCAATCAAGTACTGCTCCAGAATTGGTCCTCCTATGGTCAACCTGTTAAAGGCATTAAGACATGGCTTTTGTATGATGTTCTCCAGATAATGAATTGGGCTCAAGAACTGTATTGGTGGAATCACATGGAGCTCTGAGTAAGCCTCATGAGGGGACACCCCGCACTCCATGATCATCAGTGGGTGCTTGTCTGTGGTGACGGGAGGGGAAAAGGCACAGTTTTTGCTCCAGATCCCGTCATAATGCGGTTTGAATAACAGGAAAAACTGAAGCACACACTCACCTAACGATACCATACCATTTTCAGTCTTCACATGTACAGTTTGTGCACTCCACTGCAAAACTTCAGATGCATCTCATGCATGGTGTCCATAAGAGGAGCTTCTTGGGCTTCTTGTAGGACTTGACTCCAAGATCATTTTAAAAATAAATTCCACAATTTAAAAATAAATTTGACTGTTATGAAATACCTCTTATGACCAAAATTATTTAATCTGGAGGTCATTTTTCTGTTAGACATTTCTCTTTTCTCAAGACTATTGCTCATGATAATTTGTCCAAGGTTAAAAGGACTTTTGGATGCCTTGGACGAGTTCTTGATTCAAGACTCTCTCTAGAGTTCTGGTGTTCTGGCCAGCATCGTACGAACACCGTGCAATGCATTCGCTAGAGTTACATAGGCTGCACCTTACTAACTGTGTTGCTGGAGTGTACTGAAGCTGTTTCTATGATGGAGAGAAACAGTTTAGGGACAGCGAATTATGATCCCAGTCCACTCGTGTAGCAATACTTTTGACCCATATTGGACATGTTTCGGCACTTCAGAAGGGCTTTCCCACCAAAGATCGTAAACCTTTAATACGCTCCAGAGAGGTGCGGAGTAATTTTAAAGCAAATTCTTGTGCAGGAGCATTTATGCTCTTCTGAGAGCACTCTTGCTGTCAGAAGCCGGTATGAGTCTATCAACAACAGAGTAACTTCAAAAACAGTTTGGTTATTATTATTCGAAGAAAGGAGTTCACCCAATTATCACATTCTTGTATCTGCAGTAGCCGCAGTAGTTCACTCTTTGATGTGAAGCCATGATCTAAAAACTTTCCATGAATTATATTGAAAATTTTCCTAATAAAAGTATGTATAATGAGAAATTGAATTTCAGGATCTTCGGAATCAGATGCAATCCGGCCAAACCTTCCAAATTGTCCTACCCTCACCAACCCAGCCTCATCCACACGCCCAGGGTGGATTCCAGCCCCTAGGAGTCCAATACCTCCCACCTACTTTCGGGAAATCCCAACCTGGAGGAATTCAATATGCGCAACCTCCACAAGAAGAATTTCAACACATGACGATTCCACGAGCTCACGTCAATGCCCAGATGGGCATGGAGTGAACCAATTCTCTGGATGGCATTTTCTGTCTCTTACTCTTTCCTTTTGTTTTTCTTATACCATTGAATACTTATACAATATCTTATACCATCACCCTGCTGCATATTCGGAGCTATTGATATATGCGAGTCGTAAGAGATATCTCAGAGGTTTTTTAGTGCTTCTTCCCGCGTTTTGCTTTCGAATCTCTCTTGTGGGCGCAGAGCAGAAATGTCCTCATATTGTGGAACGCGAAAGCAGCATCATGTTAGTTTTCTTCCCACTCTTTCAATATGAAGTTCACGAACCAATCAAGAAAACCAGGTGGAATGTTTCCAATAAAATTTGTAAGTCAAAGAATAACCTTTATTTAAATTTGAAATGATTTAACTCATGAAACTTTGTCAAACGTCAAGGCCCATCCATCAAAATAACTTACTTTATAGTCTCTTTATGGCTTACATAATCGTCTCTGTGACCATTATGTGACCGCTTGGCAGAAGGTGTAAAGGACCTGTCCCTAATCCGAAAATTCGGATAGCAACATGATGTCGGGACAATTGAAACACTGTTAAATCTGGACTTGTTAGTTTGGGATCGCATGAAAGTCCGTCAAAGCTGCTGCTCCTTCTGGACCTACTCCGTATTGCGATGCGATGCCTGCAAGGGAATTCCAGATTGAAGGATACCACATATTGCGGAAGGATAGGCTCGGCAGAAAGGGGTGAGGAGTCGTGTTGTATGCTGAAACCGAACTGGGCGTTTGCGTCAGAGATTTCACCTCGGCAAACTGTGAAGCAATCGAACACTTATGGTGCGACATTAGTGGGGCAACTGGGAAGATCGTGATAGGAATTTGCTATAGGCCCCCTAACTCTTCTCTTGAGGATGAAGCAGCTTATTTTGCACTCATGCGTAGGATCGGCGCGATCTCGAAGTATGTATTGCTCTTCGGATACTTTAACATGCCAAAAGTAGATTGGTAGGTGCCGCAAGGGGGTGCGAAAGGAATAGGTAATTTCTCGTTGCGGTTCGGGACGCTCTTCTCGTTCGGTACGTAAATGAACCGACTCGCGAGGAAGCTTTATTGGATTTAGTGCACGAGACGTTAAGGTACAGGATAACTTGGGAGATGCAGACCACTGCGAGATCACGTGGAATATGAAGCGGACGAAGAGTAGCGCCAAACCGAGGAAGGTCTCGTACAACTATAAGAAGGCTAATTTCGAGAGACTACGGGAATGCGTTTCGGGCATCGACTGGGAGGGGCGGTTCCGTGGGCTGACGGTAGAGGAGCAATGGGGGGCGTTCAAGACGTTCTTGCAGGGCTTTATGGAGGAATGCACCCCCAAGAAATCCATAAAATCGGGCAGGCAACCGGTCTGGTTTACGGGTAAAATAAAATCTCTCATCAGGGATAAACAGCGGAAATGGGATGCGTACAAGCGGACGGGAGATGGCACAGACTATGAGGAATATAGGAGGATCACGCGGACGCTGAAGCGGGAAATTAGATCTGCAAGACGGGAGCGAGAGGAGAGGTTGGCTGGCGATGCTAAGAAGAACCCTAAAGCTTTTTATCGGTATGCTAGTGGTAGGTGTCAACAGTCGATCGGACCGCTAATGAACGAAAAGAGGGTGTTGATTGCAAGTGATAAGGTATACTTAACGAATTCTTCGCTTCCGTTTTCACTGTCGAATCCGACTCGACACCGACTTTGGAGGAGATGATCTCAGCGCGTCGAGGATATTTCTCATCGAGGATATTTCCATCACCGAGGAGACGATCGTGAATACGATAGGGAAGTTAAAGGTGGGAAAGGCGACCGGCCCCGTTGGGAATCCCAAGAGAGTCATTAAGGAAACCGCGAGAGAAATATCGGTTCCGCGAAGATTTATATTCGAAAGCAGCTTTTCGCGGGGGGAAGTACCTATGGACTGGAGACTAGCAAACGTCGTACCGACCTTTAAGAAGGGCGAAAAGAGTCATCCAGGAAATTACAGGCCGGTAAGTCGCACGAGTATCCCAGGGAAGATCATGGAGAGCAAACTAAGGGACCATCTCTTGGATTTCCTGGAAGGAAACGCGTTCATTCGGGACTCTCAACACGGCTTCAGGAGGCGTCGAAATTGTCTCAACGATTTCCTCGAATTCTACGACTGGGCAACGGAAGAGAGGGATAGGGGAATCCCGTGGACATCGTCTATTTAGATTTCGCGAAAGCTTTGGATACCGTTTCTCACAAGAGGTTGCGGGTTAAACCGGAGGCGCACGGGATCCAGTGGAGGACGAGTGGATCAGTAGCTGGTTGGCAGGACGAGAGCAACGAGTGATGGGAAGTGATGGGAATGGGGAAGCGGCGAAGCGGCGAAGCGTCGAAGGAGGTTGGAGTCGCAAGCGGTGTCCCTCAAGGCGAGGTCCTTTTACCGCTTCTGTTTTTGGTCTACATAAACGATTTGGATCTCGGCGTGGAGGGTAAGATGAGTAAATTGGCCGACGACACCAAGATAGGTTTTACCATAAGGGGGGAGACGGGTAGGGCTCGAGACGAGCGAGATTTAAGTTTATTGGACGAGTGGAGCAAGAAATGGCTCATTGACGACACCAAGATAGGTTTTACCATAAGGGGGGAGACGGATAGGGCTCGAGACGAGCGAGATTTAAGTCTATTGGACGAGTGGAGCAAGAAATGGCTCATGAGGTTTAATAAAAGTAAGCGTAAAGTTTTCCACGTCGGTCGAAACAATGGTAGGGCTCTCGACACGTTCGCAACTAGCGAGTAGACTAGCGGAACTAGCGAACCAAGGACTAGCGAGTTGACTAGGACCAAATGTTTGAATTGAATACTTAAATTTAATTACTCATCTGTTTTCAGATCATGGAAACTCCAGGTCATGACTGAAATCTTATTTATGCATGTTATCCCAATGAAGGAAAGTAATTCATTATGTGACCATGAATGTAAATGAAGTAAGGAAGAACCTGAGCTGGTAATGGGGCAGTTGATGGCACTCGAGATCGGAATCTGTATGGCTCCTTCATTCAAATAAATGTTCTCCTTCAGTCGACAGATGACCTCCTGTTTTTGCCAGCACTTCGAATGGTGAGGAAATACACAGGAAGACTTGGGTTGAAGAGTTTGATTTTTTCTCGGGTCGGGCCGTGAAGTTGTGTTGGAATTCGGGTTTCGGGTCAGGTGCGGGCCATGACTTGAATCGGGGTATATCGTGTTGGGTACCATAAAATCACTGAAGGAGGAGCTAAAAGGAGACGTCTGCAGCGCATTTTACGAGATCGCAAGAGAAATGCTTCGAAAGCCGTCACGACGCTCCTGGAATACATAGCTTTGTATGTCGAACACGATCGACTCAATTTTCAATGGAAGCGCTGCTGGAACAATAAAATAAGTAAATTCATTTCATACGATCGTAACTTTTGGACCACCTTGTACACGAATCTTTAGAGGACCCCATTAAGGGGTCCACCCAGTTATATGCCATAATCGTTACAACTCTCTGACTGATAGAGATTTGATTGATGCCACGTCCGAGAATCATGCAGGAACCGGTGAGGATTTCGCCTGCATGCCTCCTTCCTCGCATCAAGTGGTGGAATGTCCCTCGATAAAGATGGGACTTTCTCGACTTTCTCGACCATGGGGTATCGTGCCTTGCACTGGTCGTCTCGTTCCATGTCTGGCCGTCTCGACGTCTCCCTGGGACATGCATCTGCCTCCCTTTTCTCCTGTCCCCCTTTTCGCTCTCCATCCCCGCTGCAACGTATCGCATGCAGTCGCTTTCATGCTTGATGCATTTGGAACAGTCACAGATTGAGTTTTGCGCCCGAATAATCGAGTCAATCACGAAAAAATCTTGACATGACATTTTACTTTGCGATGAAAAGGCGGGATTGTGAGCTTTGGTCTCTGGGGATTATGATGCATGCGTGCAGCTATAAAGAATTGCTGGTCATTTTCGTTGCCGTCACTAGTGGCAGACAGAAGAAACGTGCATGTTTCTTCCGACCGCCGTTCCTCAAGAAGCTTTCGAAATAGTGCAGTTGATTTTTGAGATTACGATTCGAAAGCCACTTTCATGGTCCAACTGAAGATTTCTTGATGCATCCCTCGCAGCAGATTTAGAAGGGTAAGCGTAAGGCGCAAGGAGACGAGATTTTCGCAAAATCCATCACTCATCTTGAACTCGTGAAAGCGCCATCATGAGGTTCAGCCATTGTTTAGAAAAGGAACTAAAGAAGATCATGAATTAATTTTAAAATTCTCGGTGGAAGGATGCCGTAGGTATAAGCCTCTGAAGAGACCGACCGAAATCGTGACTTTTGAGTGTCGAGAACTGTCTCTCTGGCCCTCGTTCGAAGTCTTAACAATAAATGTGGAACAAAATGTTTGATGCGGGGGTTGGGTCATTTTTTATACTTTAGGTGTTCCTAAAGTCGTTTCATGGATGTCGTGACGCGAGAAGCGATTTCCGCGAAAAAACGTGCACATTGATTTCTCCGAAAATAAACGCATCGCAAAAATAATGCTACAATTGATGCAGTTCCTCCTACCTTTCCTTTCGGGAAATTTAATCAATTTACATCTTCGCTTTATTCAGAGACGTGCAAAAAATTAAAAGGAAATTAGCGTCTCCAACATTAGACGCTTATTTTATTTGTAACAGGGCCGGATTAAGAAGTTGCGAGGCCCGGAGCAAGTGGATTCTTCAAGCTACCCCCCCCCCCCCCCTTCCACACACACGCACTCGCTACTTTCCGCAAATATTTAACATTAATTTCCTTCTGGGGCCCCCCTGGAAGAATGGTGCCCCGGCAACAGTCCCCTTCGCCCCCTCCCCCACTTTAATCCGGCACTGTATGGGAACAGTCGAGAATGTGAAAGAAACACCCGACAAGGAAATTTTAGACCCGTTTCTTCAGAGGTTTTTCTCAAAGTGTCATGAATAATTTCCTTCTTAAATCCTTGTGGTTTTGAACAAACTGAAATCGTGGGGGTCTGGGAATCTCCGCCACGCATCACCTCTCCTCTCTTGACCCTCAAACAATTCTTCAAAGTCAGAGTTCGCATTCAATACGGAAATTCTCATGCCTGAACGCTCGGTATTTCCACTCGAAAGGGACAGAGATTCAGGCGTAGCAGACGACGCCCTCACGCTCCGCTCCGCATTTGCCCCTCCCCTCCGCTCCCCAGCATTTCACGTGCCCGTCGAGGCTACCTGAAGGGTCCTTGGGTCCCCGCTCGCAGTCGTGGGAAGGCGTCAGAGAGGCGTCCATTCCCTCTACTAGCATTTCGTTCCCACGAGTTCGAAGTAGGAAATCTTTCCTCTCAAAGAAACCTCTCCTT